CCCACCTGGAACATTTCCAGGCACAGTGACACTCTTAAAGAACACATTCATGGAAGAAGATGGCATTTCAATAGCGGTGCTTCTCAGTGGGTCCTGGGGAAAGGAAGGCCTGTGTGCATAAGAGTCAAAAATAGAAACAGAGTAGGTGGCCCCAAATTGGGTGAAGAAAGGAATTGATGTCAGGACCTAAGGAAGAGGGTGTGTCCTGCCTGTGTGTGGACCCGAATCTCAGCCAAAGCATTCATGTGTTACCAAGTCAGAGTTTAAAACTGTTATGAACTACAGAGCCATACTTGGTCCTTGTAGGAATGCGAAAACATGATCAGCCAACAGACTATCGAAGTATAACTTCTAGAGAAAATAGAGGATACCCAGTTAAATATGAATTTCAGAGAAATAACACTCTGCAGTGTAAATAAATCACAAGAGTATTTATGTAATTTACCTGAGTGTGATGCTTATTGACTGAGCCTGGTGATCCTACCAGAGATGGGAAGAAGGAATGAAGTGAAGGCCCCAGCTGGCAGATGGGGGCAAGACAGAATGGCCACAGGATCTAGGGTGGGTGACAGGGGCCTATAATGTGGCTGACCCAGGAGGATTTCTCACATGAGCCCTGGATCCCCAAAGCCACAGCAAAGACAGAGCAGGTGAAGCTTGTGTGTGGTCGTCTTCCACCTTCTGGGTGACCCGGTATTTCAGAGCTCCCAGCCATCCCGCCCCAGCTCTTGTCTATCTGAGACTTGCTCCTTAAGGTGTTGGGGAAACTCTTCCTCAGTCTCCTTGCGTGTCCTCTCAGATGTCTCAAATAGCTCAGCAACATGGTGACAGTTTGAAAAAAGGGCTGGTCCATGCCTTCACTGTGTCCGTTTATATAAATGCCTATTGTCAGGCCTTGAGTGTTCCCAATGGTAGAGCTCCAAAAGACACAGCAAAAACTGATAGAAAAAGGGAGAAATAGCCCAGAAATATGCAATAAGACCTCAACTCTCCACTTTTAGTTATAGATAGAACCACTATGCAGAAGACCAACAAGGAAAGAGAAGACTGAACAAGACTACAAGACCAACTCAACTCAACCGATTCTAACTAAACGCTTGATTGCAGTGGAATTGATTTTTCTTCCCAAGTACCCTGGAAACATTACCCAGAATAGAACACATGCTATAAAAAAATACTCTCTAAACACAGTAGAAAATCAACAAAGAAAGAAAATTGGGAAAATTTACAACTATATGGCAATTTAAAAATATAGTCTTTGAAGCGCTTGCTTAGGCAAACACAGGGACTGGGGCTCGATCACACCATATGCTGTGCTAGCCCTGACCCTAGACACGCTGAGCCGGCCACCGAGGCCAGCCATGGTGGCACACACCTATAATCCCAGAACTGGGGAGGCTGAGAACAGGAGGATCACTACAAGTCCAAGCTTCATAGTAAAACCCAGTACCAAGTACATTGATAAAACAAAAACAAAAACAAAAAAAAAATACAGTCCCAAGTAACCAAGACAAACAAAAGAACTAATCACAAGAACAAAACTTTTAAGAACTTGAGACAAATGAAAACACAAAACAAAACCTTTTGGGATGCAGCTACAGCAGCGCTGAGAGGGAACGATGAAGTATGAATGCCTGTACTAACAAAGGAGAAACAGGGCCGAGGAGATAGCTCAGCACTCTAAGTGCCTGCTTGGCAAATGCAAGGACCCGAGTTTGATCCCTACCCCATGCAGTGCCAGCCCTGGACTGCAGAGCAACACCCTATAATAAATAAGTAAATAAATAAATACATAAATAAATAAAAATGTACAGTTCATAATTTTTTCTTTTAAAAAAAGGTGAGATCCCTAATCAATAATTTTCAACCCTAGGAAAACAGAAGATGAGGCTGTTAAGCCAAAGAAAATAATAAAATGAAGAATAAGACAGAAATGAACAGACAAGAGAAAAACATTTTAAACCCAAAAGTTGCTTATTTAAAAAGATGTACAAAATTGGCAAACCTTCAGCTAGACTGATGAAGAAAAATAAAAGAGAAGATACCAATTACTAATAGCAGGAATGAAAAGGAAAGCGTTAATATCAACTTTAAAGAAAGGAAAAGGATTGTAATGGAAAGCTATAAACAATTCTATACCAACAAATTAGCTAACTTAGACGGAATGATCAAATTCTTAGAAACACCCAAACTATCCAAACTGACTCAAGAAGAAACAAATATCTAAGTAGACCTACTCAAAGTAAAAAGATAGAGTTAATATTAAATGAAACCAGGCTGGCAAGATAGCTCAGCGGACTCAGCACCTGCTTTGGCAAGCGCAGGGACCAGGGTTCGAGCCTCAGTCCTGCATGTACCAGCCCCGCCCCTGGGGCGCACTGAGCCAAGAGTCCAGGTGTGGCAGTGTACTCCTGTAATCCCAGCGCTGGGGAGGCTGAAAACAAGAGGATCACCATGAGTCCCCGCTGTGCTGTGAGACCCTGCAGCAAACTCATAAATGAAAAAAAAAAGAAATATTACATAAAGTCTCCCACAAAGACAAACCCATACCTAGACGGCTTTGCTGGTGAATTCTATTAAACATTTAAAGCAGAGCATTGATGTTTCCCAAACTTCTCAATGAAATAGAAAAAGAAGAAATATTTTATAGCTCATTATAGAAAACCAGTAGTACATTGATACCAAAAGCAAAAAAGGTATTACGAAACGCAAGAAAGTACATAGAAATGTCACTTACTAATGCAGACACAATTAAAAGGTGACAATGGTCATGCAATTCTCCGAATAAAGTGAAAATCAATTAATTGCACTTTATTTATTTATTATTTTTGGTTTTGAGACAAGGTCTCACTATATATTCCAGGCTGACCTTGAACACTCTGTAGCGAAGGCTGGCCTTGAACTCACGGCAATCCTCCTCCCTCAGCCTCCTAAGTGCTGGGATTACAGGCATGCACCACTACACTCAGTCTGAATTGCACTTGAAATGGGTGAATGTTATAGTATGTGAATTTTTAAAAACAATCTTTTTTTAAAAATGTATTTAGTACAGGGTCTCACTATGCAGCTTGGACTCATAGTGATCCTCCCATTTTCAGCCTCCCTAGTGCTAGGTTTAGCTACTCTTCCCTGTCTCGGTGGTCCAGAGGCAGGCCAGCACGGTGTGTGGTGCCTGGGATCAAACCCTGGTCCCTGCGCTTCCCTAAGCAAGTGTTTAGTCCACTGAGCTATCTCACTGGCCCTATAGTATGTGAACACATGTATTTTTACAAAGTATTTTTGAAAAAAAAAAACTATTCCTGGTGAGGAATCATAAGTGTAAGAATTCCACATACTAGTATTTGGGAGGTTTACACATAAAGTCAGGCAAAAATTAAGCAAAGGCTGGAGATGGCAGGGTGAGGGTGGAGGCTATTTTAGGGATAATGCATGCTTTTGTTCCTTGGAGAAAAAACAGGTGTTAGGTAAGAGTAGGAGGCATTAAAAGCAGAGAAATTAATACCATCTAATATTAAAAACATCTGGTTGTCAACACAACATTCTTCGGAAGTGACATTGCTAAGAGTTGGCGTGACTGGCCTATGTCAGGTTAATGTGGGTATTTGTTTTGTTTTAGGTACGAGGAATTGGACCGTTAGCCTTCACACGATGCTACCTTTTCAGCCCTTTTTTATTTTTCATTTTAAGATAGGGGTTCACTAAGTCACTAACCTGTGATCCTCTCTCATCGGCCCACAGAGCGTTGGGTGACAGGCGCATGCCACCGCACTTGGCAGGTTTGCATGTTTTTAACTAATAAAACTAGGTATTTAGGAAACCGAGAGCAGCGCTCTTCGTGCCGGTGATAAAACACGAGACAGGATGCGGTCCTACTTCCAGTGCCTCCCACCTGCGCGTTTGGAACCTGCGCCCACACGGGCTGTACCTCCCGGCTGCGGAGCAGGCGGTGCTGAGCTCTGCCTTTGCATCTAAACTTCCCGGGCTTCGAGTCCTGCTCTGCCACTCCCATGCTGTGCGTGTCTGAGCCCGCAGCACCTTGTGCTTTCAGTAAGAGAATGTGCAGAGTCCTGCGCCACCGCGGGCACTGGGTGGTGAATGGCGGTGTTACTGCCACCTGGAGAGCAACACTTCCCTCATGGCAAAGTGTCACCTGGAGAGAGCTAACATATACTTCTTTCAGCACTGTCTCAACCCAGTTTCAGGAACGGGTAGCTGAAAGTGTCCTAGATGGCAGAGCCTGTGATCCTCACGTTTCCTTGGAAGACGCTGGCTGAAGGGTGATGTGTGCTCTGTCACACCACCTGTCCCTCGTGGTACCAGCCCAAGGCCAGCCATGGCGGGAAATACCTGGTCTCCCGAACTGTTGGCTACCTGTCTGCCCTCCTTTAGGGGATGTGCTTTTGGAATTAAAAGTTCATTCTCCCGGTTTTCCTTGGAAAGTTCCTGCTCTTTGCGTTGGGTCCTGGACCACACGAGTGCAGGAAGCAGCATTAGGGACAGGGACAAAACTGTGCACGATGGTGGACAGTGGGAAGGGTGAGGGACTCTGGACCTCTGGGCTTGCTTTGAGGAGCAAGGACAATCACAGCACCAGCCACCCCTTCCTCCCCTCTCCATCCTGGAGGTTCACCTGGACGCTGCAGTTTCTGAGTGGGGAGTAGCCATCAAAACCAGGGACCCAGGAGACCAGAATGCTGTGCGCTGTGCTGTTGCGGACGTGCACCTCGGTCGGCGGGGAGGGAATTGCTGCAGAAAACAAAGGCACACGCATGGGAACACAGTTATATGCTGCAGGAGGCCAGAGCTACCGAACAAACACATTCACACCACACCTGTTTCCATGCCCTGAGATTAGCAAGCGGAACACATATTTCCAGGAGGGGCCACTCTGGGCTTGAGAGAAAGGGCACTGCTCTAGGGAGAAGGGGCCCAGCCATGGGATGCAGCTGCCTGGGCCTGAGGAGGACAGACTCACATCCCCACTCACTGAAAAAGTGAGGACATCTTATAACTAGAAGAGGAGAAGAAGACATTCATATACTTCATGGAGCACATATTTATTTATTTGATACAGGGTCTTCCTGTGCAGCTCAGACTCGTAGTGATCCTCTTGTCTCAGCCTCCCCAGCACTGGGATTACAGGTGGGCACCACCACGCCTGGTTTTGGTGGATTACACAGCATGCGGTACCAAGGATCAAACCTGGATCCTTGTGCTTACCAGGCAGGCACTTAGACCACTGAGCTATCTCCCCAGCCCAGTGGGGCACATATTCTTGACCCCACTGTGTGTGGCCACTTTGCTGGGCTGTAGTGTAATAAACAGGGACTGAGAGCCAGAGCCCTCTTGCCATTGTGGACCCCTGGCCCTGTGGGGGAGATCCACACTAACCATGGAGAAGAGTGCCCTGAACCCAGAAGATGAGATGTTACAGGAGGGGTGTAAGGAGACAGAGGGAGGGAGGGAGATGGAGAAAGAGAAAGTGAGAAAGAGAAAAAGAGAAGGGGAGGGGAAACAGGAGTCAGTTAAAGCAAAAGCCCCTGCACCACAGCAAGAACGCTGAGCATGCAGTGGCCTTAACAGCATATTAGACAAGGCAAGCAATTTCGTTAGAATCCAAAAAGCATTGAAAGTTTGGGGAAGCTCATCCCTTTGTGGTAAATTTAATTGTTTGCAATAATTCCACTCATAGTAGAAGTGGTGGCAAATGTTGTTGTGTGCTTACTGTGTGCCACGCTCTGTGGGGACTTCATTCGGTCATTATGGAGCCCTAGCAGAGGAGTAATCTTAGAAACCCAGTCTATAGATGAGGGAACTGCACCGAAGAATTTAAAATGTGTCAGGATAGGGAGATAGCTCAGCAGCACAAGCGCCAGCCTGGCAAGTGCAAGGTCCTGAGTTTAATTCCTGGTACAAAAAAAAAAAAAAAAGTATCAAAGGTCCCAGAGAAGTTATAAGCATAGAATAGGGTCTTGAACTTAGGCATGTCTCAGCTGAGCTAGTGTCCCCTACCAGGACACTAGAGGCCTATGATGAGGGACAGCAAACGGAAGGGCATGAGTACCCCAGGGAAAGGCTGCTGGGCTACCAGGGAAGAACCAGTTGCAGGGCCTGGGTACAGCCCCGTGCCTACTGTGAACACAGTCAGATGGTCTACAACTGGGCATCATAAGAACACTGCTCCATGGAGCTGTGGGGTGGGGCAAACAGGGTGGCACAGGTGTGCAGCCCAGGCCAGGTGTGCAGGGAGGTGACAGTGGGATGGGCCTGAGACATGGACCCAAGTCACAGGCTCAGGGCGGGCCCATGTACAGCACGCCACAGGTCTCACGTTCAGGAGCCTCAGGTTTCCCAGCAGACATGCGGCTCAGTAAGCAAGGAACAACCAGCATGTGGTTGGACTCATTTCCATGAGCGCAAAGGATCTGCTTTTCCAGATCAAAATCTGACCACATCCAGCATGGCTATAATAGTTTAGAAGAAAGGAGTCTTGGTGGCTTTGACACAAATTTTATAATGAATGAAAACATAAAACCCCATGAGTTTTGGAATCAGAATCTATTTATTTTTTATGTATTTAGTACAGAGTCTATAGGGTCTCACTACACAGATCGGACTTGTAGTGATAATCCTGTATTTAGCCTCCCAAGCACTGGGATTACAGGTGCATGAGCCACCATGCCCAGTCTTGGAATCAGAATTTATTTTAAGAAGAAATGTCAATTGAGATTCTATGGAAAGCCTAAAACAAAATACTTTTCATTTCACAGATTTTTAAATTGTAAGAAGGTTATATTTTAGGAAAAGGCCATTACAAATGTACACCTACTCACATATTTTTGAAATTCCTAGCATGTCTGTTGAAACTTGTAAAACTGGGATTTGTAAAACGGGAAGGAAGTTATACACTTCCTCTAGTATTACCTTTTAGTTTGCTCATTTATTAAAAAATTCCAATGAACTTTTACAAAATGCCCTTTCATAACTTCACATCTGGTTGATCTGGTGAAAGTAAAACTAATGCCTTTTTTTTTTTTTTTTTTTTTTGCAGTGTATTTAGTACAGGGTCTACAGGGTCTCATTACACAGATTGGACACCCTTCTGTTTTTAGCCTCCCAAGCACTGGGATTATAGGCGCATGCCACCATGCCCAGTCTCAATCACCATCTTAGTGCACCCCAAGAGCGGGGCCGGCATGGCAGCTGGGGATTGAACCCCAGCCACTGCGCTCTGCCTGAGCAGGTGCTTTAGTTAAAAGTAGTGCCTTTTTAAGATTTTTGTCTTTGAGACAGGGTCTCACTTTGTAGCCCAGGCTGGCCTTGAACACACAACAATCCTCCTGCCTCAGCTTCCTGAGTGCTGGGATGACAGATCACACTCAGCCCTAGTGGCTTTTTATTTTATTTTAATTTTATGTATTTGGTACAGGGTCTCACTCTGCAGCTCAGACTCGCAGTGATCCTCCTGTTTTCAACGTCCCCAGTGCTAGGATTATATATATGCACCACCAGGTCTGGTCTCAGTGGCTAGCTCAGCAGGCCCACTTGGGATTGAACCCCAGTCACTGCGCTTGCCTAAGCAGGTGCTTAGTCTGCTGAGCTATCTCACCAGCCCTTCTAATGGCTTTCTACACTAGTATTTTCTTGTCAACTTTCTTTTTTTGGTACTAGGGATTGAACTCAGGACCTTATATTTGCCAGGCAGGTGCTTAAGCCACTGAGGTATCTCCCTGGTCCCTTCTAGTGGTTTTTTAAAGGTATAACTACTTTCATGATTTTGCATCCCCTTCAGCATATCCCTGAACTTATAATTAACACATCATCAAGCACATTCTACTTCTTTGCTTGTGGTCCAAGGATAAGACTAGAGAAATACAAACCCAATGTACTTACTGCTCAATACCTAAATTAAGATCTAATGGTAAAACATAAGATGTGCTTGAATTTCCATGAGAAGAAGATAACACGAAGAGAGATTTAAAAAAGAGTATCTGCTTCTGTTTTCTTTTTCATTCACATTTCAGGTTTAAATATCTTCAAACACAGGGGAGGAGGAGGACAAAGCAGAACATGGTAGGTGGCTTGAAATGTCTCCACTACCTTGAGGGCCTTTCAGACTTGAGTCTTTAACCCTGTTGCAATTCACTGCCCAGCAAGAGTCCCACTGAGATCTAAATTCAGTAGAGAGGCAGATTAGGTGGAAGAGGGAAGGAGCCTGCAGCCTGCTTTCTGCACTCCACTTCCTCCCTCTGCCAGCAGCTAGCGGAGGGCTGAGGCTGGCCCACGTGACCCAGAGGCGTACAGCCCATTCCATAAGTCAGTGCCCCCAAGTAACCCCCCTCCCAGGGATCATGGGAGTTTTATGAGGACAAGTACAGGGTGGAAGCGGAAAAAGTGAAAATAGGAGCTCATATGCTCAAAGGCAAACATCTGAGCTATTTTTATTTTTGGAGTAAGCATGGTTAAATTAAACAGCGTTTTGTGAGATGGAGGTGACGGGCACTGGTGCGAGACTTCTACTGACTCAGTGAGCCTCAACAATAGGGAGATTCTGTAATTACCTCCATTTTGCAGAAAAGAACATGAAATCAAAAAGGTGAAGTGACTTGTGTAAGGAAAGCCAGGACTCAGGCCCCAGCAGTTGGGTGCAAGAGCTCACCCTGGGTCTCCTGGCAGCTCCTAGGGCACTCGAGGGGCCTGGCCAGGCCGCTTACCTTTGATGTTGACCTGCACAGCCTTGGACACGGTGAGTCCTTTGGTGTTGTGGGCCTCACAACTGAAGATCGCCATCTCTGTCAGACCTGGAGGAAAGGGACACTTGTGAAGCCAGTTGCCAGGAAACAGAATACTCTTTACCAGAATCCCATGGTCAGTGTGCCTTTGTTTCTTGCTTCATTGCTTCATGCCAAAACATGAAGTTAACTTTGAAAGTGTGCCCGCTCTAGAAAACCAAATCTGGTGTAAAATCATAGGTACTTAGAGCAAGGCAGCGTGGTCCCCTGAAGTAGCTGTTTGCATTCATTCTGATCCCGAATGGTGAGACCTTAGGGACTAAAACAGTTAGACCCAAGGCACACACACAAGAGACTTGCTGACCCCAACATCTGAGAAAGCGGCTTCTGAGATTCACCCCAGCCTCTGTTACTTAGAGAACATATTATGTCATGCTGTAGACATTTTAGAGTATCAGAAATAGTGGAGTAACAGCCATGAGTTCTTACAATGTTCAGGCAATCTATTGTAATGAATCCTTTTTTTGTTTTGTTTTGTTTGTTTTTTTGGCTAGCTCAGGCTGCCTTAATGGAGGGTCTGGTGCAGCATGTGGAGCTGGGGATCGAACCGCGGTCCCCAGCACCTGACTGAGCTTGCCCAAGCAGGAGCTTTAAACAACTGAGCTAACCTGCAAGCCCCATGAATTCTTTTTTGAATAGTAAATACTAACTCACGGGAAATTTCAATATAGGCATTTCAGTAAGGCATTATAACTCTTCCAAGAGAAGACACAAGTGCTAAGTAAAGAATAATTCTATCATTTTAGAGCTTTAAAGACACTTTTAAAAAATTGTTACATTGATTTTACATAGAAAAGTTCCTCACATCTTGGTATCTAATACCATCCTCCAATAAAAGGAACCAGGTTCCTTGGAGAAATGGAAGATACTCAGACCAGGGTACCACTGACCTAAGATGAGCCCAGAGTGCACTTTAACATGACTTACAACACACATGTACATACCCTCACATACACAATGACAAGAGATGTCAAAGAGACACATAAGCCAACCGAAAGAGCAAAAGCTAGAACTGGAGCAAGAACATGGAGTAGCAGTGAATTATAGCCAAAGCATAAAGTAATGGCCCATCAGTCTACATTGATAAAATTAATGATTAAATAAACAAGAGAGAACAGAAACACCTCCTGCGAAGAGGAGTCCGAGTCTATGAAGATGCTGCTTTGTCAAGGATGTGGAGCCCGACCCCCTCTTTTCATGTGGGCTGTGCAAAGTGATCTCATTCCTACAGTCCAGTGGGAAAGGAGAAGATGAAGAGCTTTAGATAAGAGAAACTGATAACCAGGACCCAGCCAGGGGACCAAGTTCAGCAACAGTCATGGTGGCAGAATGAACCCTTGCATTAATGAGCACAATGGCATTTCCCCTCTGCAGTGTCCCTCTTGACAACATAAAACCCCAGGCTAAGCAAGAGGAAAACATCAGCAGGTTCAGACCATGTGGGACAACCTCCAGAGCCCCTGGCCCCTAGTCCTCCAACTGCCAAGGTCGTTCAAAACAAGGAAAAGATGAGAAGTTTCATACCGAGATGACTAAGTGGAACGTGGTATCCTGAAGGGGATCCTGGGACCAAAAAAGGACCGGAAGTAAAAACTGAGGAAATGAAATTTCCACTTAATAGTGATGCATCAGAATGGTAGATCCATTGAAACAAATGCACCAAACTCATAGAAGTACTAGAGGAAAGTAGAGGTGGAGTTTATGAAGATGAATAAAAGCCATCTGGCTGGAACAGATGTGGACATTTTCTAGCCCGAACCCTTGTGGCTTTCCAGGGAGAAAATCACACCTCCCTAACAAGTCTCCAAAGTGTCCACCCTCCATCCCTCTCCATCCTGAATGCCCTGTGGCCCCTGAGCCTCTGGCCTGCCAGAGTCCTCTTCCCTGGGTCATCCCCCTTCCAGAAGTTTCCTGTTCACACCTTTTGTGCTTACTTAGTCCTCTGTTGGTTTGAAAAGAGACAGCCTATGCCATGGATCTGAAAAGTATCATTTAGGGACACCCAGTAACAGGATGTCCCCTTGAGGGAAGGACAACCTCAAGTGCTGACAAAGCCACTTCTAGGAGCACAACTGGGGCCAATTCTTTGAGTTCTAAATTAAGCAATCCTGCTTATTAACTACACAATCTTCTTTCTTCCTTTTTTCAAGTCTTGCGTCCATCTTCCTACCAAAGAAGGCAACAAACAGAAGACACTACATAGATGAAGTAGCTCACGACCTTGGAACTCCGTCGCCAAGCATTCCTTCACGCCACAGCACTTGCTAAGTGCTCACCAAGCGTCAGACACTTGCCAGGAGCTTGGGTACATCCATCACTCAAACAGTTCATGGAATGTTCTAGAAACTGCATATCCTGTGATAACATCACAGCTCGATGACAAATAGAGTATGAGCTCCATAAGGCCAGAAGACTGAGTTTAAAATTTTGGCTTGGTTATGCAGTGTTGAGGAATGACCCAGGGCCTTAGCTTGCTAGGCAAGAGAGCTAACACCGAGCTACATCTCCAGGCCCTAAAGTGCTTCGATAAAAGAAAACAACAACAACAACACTTTTTTGTTTGATATAATTTTAGATCCACAAGAAACTGCAAAAATAGCACGCAGTTCCTGTGCCCCTTCCCCCAAGCTTTTGCCAGAGATAAGGATCTTACAGAATTGTTGCACAATGATCAAAAGCAGGAAAGTGACGTTGTACACAGCTATTCACTGAAATATGGACCTTACCGGTTTCTGTTTCAGTTTGAGGAGGGGGAAGGAAGATGGAATTTTATATGAAATTGTAATCACAGGTGCAGGCTGTGGGTACAGAATTATTCCATCACAAAAATGAAGGGAGGAAGGAGAGAAGGGGGTGAGGGGGAGAGGAGGAGGAGGAGGAGGATCGAGAGAGAGAGACAGAGAGACAGAGACAGAGACAGAGACAGAGAGACACAGAGAGAGATCTGTCATGCTACCCTGTATCTCTAACGTGGCCACTGGAAAACTGATCTCCTCTTCACCACTGTAATTTCGTCACTTTGACAATGTGACCTTGGTGGAACCAGACAGTACGTAAACTCTGAAATTGGCTTTGTTCAACTGGAATAATGTCGTTCAGACACAGCACTTTTTGCTCCAGTCTCTTGAAGACCTTGCTTCCAGCCTGGGGTGAGGATGTGGGGGTGGGGGGTGGGGACCTGGGTCAAGAGGGAAAAGCACACAACCTTCCTGTTCACAAATACGCCTGCTCAAAGTAGTCCAAACAGCAGGGCTATTTTAAACAACGCTTGGCGTTCTCTCAGCAGAAGGGATAAGAAAACTTACTTGGAGGTTAACTTCAAGACGGGATGGCAGCCCCTGTGATCTCTTGCTATACCATCAGCAGGTGAGGGGCAGGGAGGACCCCAAGGTGGCTCCACACAGAACAGCCTCAGCACCCAGCCCCCCAAACAGAACTCAGGGAAGGGGCTGGGGAGATGGCTCAGTGGCATAAGCTCCTGCCTAGCAAGCATAAGATTGTGAGTTCAACCCCTGGTACCCAAACAAAACCAAAAACAATAATAACAACAACAACAACTCAGGGAGAAGCCAGGTAGTTAACTAAAGCTTTTGCAAGATCAAAAGCAGATTTAAAAAAAAAAAAAAAAAAAAAAAAAAAAAAAAGCAGATTTAACTAGGGGATGGAACCCTGGACTTCAGGCAGACCAGGTGAGCTCCCTAGATCGGAGCTACCCGCAGCCCTCCACCAAGCTTCCACGCAGTTCCTTTACAGCAAGTAGCTGTCCTGACAGAAGCCCCCACTCGCCCGACCCCAGCCGCAGAATCAGATCAGCACCCTGGGCTCCATGCCTCGTTCTGTCTGGATTTATTTGTGCCCTGTGAGTCTGCAAACTGGATTTAAAAGAAAAAATCTTGTTCTTTTAATTTCACTAAAATTGCTACAGATATAAATGAGAAAGCGGACTAGAGCTGAGTGTGGTGGTACATGTCAGTAATCCCAGCAGTAAGGGAGGCTGAGGCCAGAGGATCACAGGTTTGAACACAGTCCGGGCAGCTTAGTGAGCTCTTATCTGAAAATGTCCAAGGGGCTGGGGAATGTAGCCTGGTGAGGAGGCTCTGGGCTCAATCCCCAGTCCTGTAGAAGAGGGGTGGGGTACTGGGGGCATACTAGCTCCCTTTGAGAGTGACCCTGGGCTCTGCCCTGAGGATCACAGTATGGCAATTGGGGGCGGGGGGGGGGGGGGGGGGGGATGGGGGGATATTTATATGCAAAAATAACTGCAAATGCATGTTACTGCATTATCACTACGTTCTCTTGTCCCCAGTGAAAAAAGCTAAGACTCCTGGTAACATATTCACTTATTTATTCGTTCATTCATATTCATTCATTCATTCATTCATTCATTCATTCATTCACATAGTTTTCAGCACCAGGCGCTCTGCCTGGCAGTCGGGCAAAGCTAAACACTGACACACAACCATTGCATTGAATAGTAGCCCATCTTGGAGGCCCAAGAAGTACAAGGTCATGGAGTGATGTGAGGGGGAGGCACACAATGGAGAGGAAGGTTTTCAGGGAAGATCCGGGGGCTGAGTGGCAGAAGATGGGCAGGGATTTACCACACGGACAACCAGATGGCAGCTTGGGCAGAAAGGCTGTGTGCCAGGCCCAGCAGGAAGGCACAGGTGATGCAAGGACCCACACTCACGAAGGCTTGCAAGCAGACGCTTTGGCCAACGAGGTGGGAGCCCCAGAGGGTAGGTTTTAGCCTCCTGTGCCCGGAGTCCTGTTGGAAGGATAGATGCTCAATTTCGGGAGAATTCCTCCACTAATGAGGCAGAAAATGACTCATGATGGAGCAGCAGGGATGGGGAACATGAGGACTCCCATGGTTAGGCTGTAACAGCCCCAGCCCTGGCAACAAACCAGGAAAGTCTGAATGAAGCCCGTGGGAGTGGAAAAGCAGGGGGCAAATGTGTAAACGGACACCTGGGAACAAGGTCTGGCTCGTGGTAACCAACCGTTGG